AATATGAAAAGTTTTTCTCCTAATCCTTGATATCAATTATACCTTTAAAAACTGATAATAATAATAATTAATTTTATACTTAGCCCTTATATACCATTTTCTATTAGTAACTCTCAAAGCACTTTACAAAGGAGATCAGTATCATTATCCCATTTTACAGCTGGGGAATCTGAGGCACAGAGATGTAATATTTAAACTCAATAGGTGTTAAAATTAGTGGCAGTTAGAAGCGAATTCTTGTGCAACCCTGTGAAATCTGGCCAATATCCTTTAATTGCAAATTCTTGGACAGATCATTGACAATAGTTACAAGAATAGTGCGGTAAGAATTTTAAAACAATGGAAGTAGAGTGTGATTTTAAGACAATGAAAAATATTCTCATATTACCTTAATATGACATACAATGAGCTTGGAGCATTTCATCACAGCTATACACTGGATTTTCTGCTGCAGCAGCCCTTGTTAAATACTGTATCTGTTCCATTTAATTTCTTGATTTTAAAAAAATCACAGATGATTGTCGAGTCTTTGGTTTCAACACTTTAAAGGCATTATAACAAATTTTCATTGATTTCATAAGGAAGTGGGTTGGACCCAGGATGTTTTAATCTACCCCACCCTCCCTCATCCCCATCGCCAAAAAAGAAATTAATCATATAATAGAATTGTTACTGTAGCTTTACTCAGCATAAAATGGGAGAGGCACTTATGGGTGATCACATGAGAATGTTTCACTGGAAGTACACAGGTCTCATTACTGTCACTCATAAGATGGCAGTGGATGTCCTCATAATAAATAATACTGTGACTTATTACAAAAATAATTTTTTAATGAAATTGTGTATTTGTTGTTAAATCCGTATCAGGAAAATTATATGGATGTTTAAACTTTTAGAAAAGAATAGCAATCTAGGGCCTGCTCCCATGCTCATTGAAGTAAAGTAGAACCTCAGAGTTATGAACACCTCGGAAATGGAAGCTGTTCGTAATTGAAATGTTCATAACCCTGAACAAAACATTATGGGTGTTCTTTCAAAAGTTTACAACTGAACATTGACTTAATACAGCTTTGAAACTTTACTATGCAGATGAAAAATGCTGCTTTTAACCACATTAAATTAAATGGAACAAGCACAGAAACAATTTCCTTACCTTGCAAATCTTTTTTTTTTCAACTTTCCCTTTATCTTTTTAGTAGTTTGTTTAACAAGGTACTGTACAGTATTTCCTTTTTTAATTTTAATTTTATTTTTATTTTTGTCTGAGCTGCTGCTTGATTGTGTACTTACAGTTCCAAATGACTGGTCTGTTTGTTACTCTGCAGTTCTACTGTAATTGGAAAGACTTTCACTGGCTTCCATGGGCTGTGGATGGGGCTTGGTCATTTGTAGATTTCAATAATGAACAGGGTGTTATGCAAAGGAACTCAGCCTGAGCTGAGCTCAGCTTTGGAGCTATTTCCTTATTGTTTTTTCAGCATGTTTGAACTTTGAGCTTATACCAGATAGCGGAAGGATACAAACACCTGTATCCTTGTATAGTGTACCTGTATCATGTATAAAGTGATTTCCTGGGCCATAATTGCAGACCAGTTTTAGGGCTAATGTTAGTAAAAGTGCTGAGATCCTATTGTAAACATTTGTCATTCTTGAATGGAAGAAGCAAAATAAGTGCAAATTATTATATTTTTTAAGGTGTATACCATGTCTTGGAGAACAGGACTGAAGCCCTTAATATTATCTGTATTTTTAATTGGGTGAGTTAAAGGTAGATTCAAAGCTCTGGGTATATTATGATTGACAGCCTAAGAGCTCCAGCATCATTACAATGTAGATGAAAGTATCTCATTATGTCAAAGATATGTATGGAAAGCTGGGAGAGCGAGTTTACAGCTTTCAGAGTAGCAGCCGTGTTAGTCTGTATCCGCAAAAAGCACAGGAGTACTTGTGGCACCTTAGAGACTAACAAATTTATTAGAGCATAAGCTTTCGTGGACTACAGCCCACTTCTTCAGATGCAGCATAAATCAGTGAAATTGAGTGGATGGTCATGTGGTGAAGGGACTAGGTTGGAAACAGATAAATGTGGATTCAGCTCCTTGATCTGCCAGATGTCAAATGTGAACTTGGGCAAGTTACCTCCATACAATAGGGATAATATTTCCCTATCTTAAAAGGAAGTTGCTATACAGTTAAATTCATAAACATGTTTAGGTATGTCAATAATGAATGCTATAAAAATGATAAACAAGAAATCAGGAAGTTCAGCGTTAGTAGTAACTGGAAGTATTTGCAGGAGCTTTGACTGACCTATGTGAATGTTCTAAGCATCACAAGGGCAGGTTCAGCAGAGGGAAGTTTCCGGGAGCACAGCTTCTGCATGCTCCCTGGCTCTAGCGGCTGATCTTTCTCTGGCTGGACTCAGGGGGACAAGAGTTACTGCTGCTCCCTGGCACCTCACTATTCCTGCATCTGGCCCTACTCCTACAAACACTCATGCATGTGATGTCAGTGAGATTACGCAAATGAATAAAGTTACACACTTGCCTAAGTGTTTGTAGGATTGGGGCCTCAATACTATACATGGAACTATTATTTTTAAATGATTTTAAATGGAAATGAAAAGGTTTCACTTTATTTTAACTTAGAAATTATTTTGATTAGTTGTAGAAATGTATTCCACTAACAAATGGTCCCAACAAATAATTAGCAGTTGCATCAAGGTTCCGCTTGGCTACATTAGAGAGCACACAAAAAAAAAAAATCACCAAAACATTTTGTAATAGTCTATTATTCAGCAAATGAAAAAGCTTTCCTTACAGATCTTTGACATGAGACACATTCATTTACATTGTAATGATGCTGGAACTCTTAGGCCATCAGTCATAATATACCCAGAGCTTTAAATCTTGGTATAACTCACCCAAATAAAAACACTGTATATAGATCATATTAAGGGCTTCAGTCCTATTCTCCAATGCAAATCTTAAAAATTATAAGAATTTCCACTTATATTGCTTCTTTCATTCAAGAATTACAAAACTTTAAAATAGGATCCCAGCCTTTTAGTAACATTAGGTAAGCCTCAAAGCATATTTGTGAGGAACAAAACTATTAATACACCCATTCACAAGTAGCTACACTTTGGCATAGAGAAGTTATGTTCCTTGACAAGTGAGACTGTTACTCAGTGGCAGAGCAAGGAATATAACACTGCATCCACTGCTCTTGGACATGTGGTATCACTGATTTTTTTCTAAGTAGCAAAATGATGTGCATAGAAAGGCAGCAGTAATTTCTATATCACTATTTCCTAAATCAACAAAAGTAAAGACATTTTGAGATAATGCTCAATTTATGCTCTGGCCTCAATTTACCATTTTGTGTCTAGCTATTGCAGTTGTTTCAAATGGAGTTATTTAGGAGATGCTGCATGTATAATGCAAAATGCTCCTGGGTGGCTATTCCTTGGAAAGAGTCCTAATTCTGTTCATGATATTACAATTGGTTGCTTCAGAAATGATGTGAAAAGATATTTACCACAGTTGAATCTGACCTGATCAACACTAATTAATCACCATCTAGTCACATAAAGGTGTTCCAATCCTTGTAAAAGTAGGAAGCATGCTTACCTTAATCTTTCCCCCTCATTGGGTATCATTAGGTTCTGGACTGGTCAGTGCTAATTAATCAGGTGGTATTGAGCAGACAGCAGTATCCGAAATGGATACAAAGGAAATGGCTTTCAGGTTATGGAACACAGATTAGGAGTATCAACATTGGCAGGTTGTGTTGGAGCAATTCTTTCTACTTCCCATGAGTCCAGGTTTTTACTGGGAAGCCACATTACTCATTAATGAAGGCTGCCTCTTTGTGAAAGGATTATCTGTAAAGCATACTCTGCTTGCTATGACTTGTGGTGCTCTTTCAATGGAAGGAGTCTTCCTTATATTTGAAATCCTCATACAAACACATGTTCAGCCGAAAGCTGCCCAGGGACAAAAGCATGACTCTGTATGAAGAATCCTTTATGAAAGATACCCTGCAGCGAGTGGGCAAAAGACTTGTGGTGTGAGAAGCAGATACACGAAACAATCAAATAGATCAACATAGAAAACAAGTAACATGGCCAGTTTTATTAGAGAAACTCAGTACTGACGATGGTGGGGATTTTTTTTTGCCCAGATCCTAATTGGGAAAAAAAAGTGGCTGCAATATAAAAAAAAAGAAAAGAAAAGAAAAGAAAGAAAAAGAAAAAAAATGAAAAGTTCTCGTCCTAGAAAATCCCAGGAGCGACCAGACCTAGAGGATAAACCAACCCCCTGATCCCTGTAAGTGGTCCCTCCAGGACGGGACGGAGGTATTGCCCCTGCCAGTGCTGTTGCTGTTGGGTGAAGGAACAGAGTCGGTCAGTGTCCAGGGCTGGCCAAGGCTATTCCCTTCCACGAGCTCCGCTGTGTGTGTTGTAATAAACCGAGGAGCATCCCTGGAAACGAGCCCGGGCTTGCTGGGACAGCAGGGCCTTCCCAGGTAAGTGGCTGCGTTGTATATGGCTGGCGCTTCCACCCAGGCACAAAACATCCCCTTCATTCTTCGCTCCGTGTCTCGCTGTAGGGAACAAGGGGCAGCTGTGGCATAGCCAGTGTTTGAGTTCACAGGTGTATCGCCGGCAGTTTGGACTTTGTCTCCCCTCCCCTATTTGTGTCTTCCCCCGACAGAAGCCTGAGCGAGGAGCGGTCCCACCAGGCTCAGCCGCGCCACGCGGGGGAGAGAAACACGTTCCCAGAGACACTGCTTCCAGAGACAGCAGCGGCTGCTGCTGAGGGGTCACCGGCAGCTTCCAGCCCCAGGCTCTGGTTAGCTCGCAGCCAGGAGGGAAGCAGGGCGGCCTCTGCCCCTCCCCTTTCCTGAAGGGCCCTGGGAGATATACCCCACCCCCTCCCCTTCTTCCAGCCCTGCCTCGGAGGAAGGCGGGATTCACCTGTCCCCTCCCCCCAGGTGTACAAATATCAGGCCAGCCTCCCGGCGCAGCACACTCCACCCCTCCGGGCTGTCTCCCTCCGCACACCGCGGCCCCAGTGTCTCAGCTGCCACAGCTGACGTGGGAAGGAATCCCGCCCCGGACTGAGTCTTGCCCGGGGGGCGGCTGCTTTGGGCACAGGACAGTCGGGCAGCGGGCGCCGGGGGAAAGCGGGCGAGCGACTCGGCCATGGCGCGGGTCCCGGGAGGGCTGGCGGCGCTGCTGCTCGTCACGGTGAGTCCCGGGGAGGCGGAGCGGGAGCCTGCTGCCGGAGCGGCTCGGCGGGGGCAGAGGGAAGTGTAGCTCCCGTGCGATCAGAGCCCCGCAGGATTGCACGGGGCCGAGCGGCACTTGGACCGCTTCCCTCCCGCCACGCCCGGCCCGCAGCCGCACCTCGCCCCGGCGGGCTGTTCCTGCCTTCAGCCAGCAGCGGTGGGAATGGTGAGCTGGGAACAGCCGGGCGTGAGCCCCGCTGCGTGTGGGGCGTTCTCAGCACTTCGTTCCTGGCGGGTTTGCACGGGTGCTGAACTGCGTTGAAACAAAAATAGTTGCCGAGCGGCCTGGGGTGCGTCTAGGAATGTGCCTGGTTGGCCGGAGCGGTTATTTTACTCCGTCTTCCAGCTGGTAAATGTGACCATTCCCACCAGTCACGAACACCTCACCCTGGCTGCTCTGCCTTCAGTGTTTGGACACGACTCTTAACCCACTGAGGCTTCCGTAACCTTGCCAGTCCTGGTGGTTTTGTTTTCACTTATCTTGAAGGGATACTGCTAGTTAAACAAAACTTTCCAAAGAAAGAACTCCTTTTACTGACGTTATTAATAGCTTAGGTTTGTTTTTTAAAAAATCTCTTTTAATAAGCTAACTTACTTTTCAGTGGTTTTGCTGGCTGTTTATAGTCAGAGCTGGTTAGAAACATAATTTCCATCCTATGGAATCTTTTGGGGAGGGGAAGCTTGGGGGAGGGGGGAGAGGAGGATTTCGAAAATAATCCTGAATTGGGATGAAAAGTCAAAATTTCAAACAATGTCATGGGACTGTGCAGCCCATCAGGGGTGGAACTGGGTCAACTGGCCTGACTGCCTGCCTTCCATTGAAAGTTTTGATGAAATTGACACATTCCCATGGAAGATTTTGCTTCCACTGAAATCTCCATTTTCAAATGGAAAACTGTTCAGCTGAAATTTTTTTGACCCACTCCATTTATAGTTTCCTAAGCTTCAGACAGTAACAGCAAATTATAGGGATATCGTCAACTTAAAAGTCACCTTTGTTGGAAAATGTCTTACTCATTGTAGTACGAGTTACAATGGGTGAACTTACAAATTTTAACTGGTTTGACATTTTCACTAGTTTTACCATTATTCCTGATCCTGCAGGACAGACCATTGGCCTTTGCTAGACTAGGAAAAAGGTGCCTTTTCTCAGTTGTTCGCTCAAGCCATAGACTATAATTAAGGTGACCAGATGCCCCGATTTGGGGGACTTTTTCTTATATAGGTGCCTATAGCCCCATCCCAATTTTTTAACACTTGCTATCTGGTCACCCTAGCTATAACCCAACTTGTTAAAATCAAGCTAATGGTGTTAAACGGTGCCTACATTAGTGTCAGATGGGATATTCCATCAAATAAAGCTAGCTCGATAGAAAAAAGCACCTTTTTTCCTAGTGGCCCATCTGAGCAAGTCAGATTGGAAGATCAGGGTCATTTTATAATATTATTTAAACTTTATTATGTATCAAGAAGGCATTGAAAGGTTTAGAAACAATAATATATATTTAAATTCTACATGTCCTCTATCTTAGAAATATCAGGAATGTGATCTCTTCTCTTCCCTGTGTTTGCTGAAGGTATCTTTGGAAAACTTGGCGCTTAGTGGAAGGGGCTGGTGTGTTGAATCTGTAACAAAGAAATCTTTTCTTTCGACATTTTGTCTCTCATTTGAGTCAGTGAGGACTAAACAAAAATAAGAGTTTTAAGGAGTGGCTAAATTATGTTCCCAAAACATTTGTTCAAGTTTCACTTCCTTGATACCTGTGATGTCATGATTGTAAGATTGTAAGAGACATCCAGGTATCCATAGAGGGGGTTTTTGTTTGTTTATAAAAAACAGTATGACAAGATGTGACTCTTCAATGTGAAAACATTTGGTGGGGCAAACTTTCAGGCTTTCTTCATACATCCCAAGGAAGCAAATATGAGCTCTTTCCTTCCCCGCCTTTTGTTTTGTTTTTGTTTGTTATAACTTTGCAGGGCGAAAAGATAGTTTTTACAGATTTTAAATTTGGCCCCATGCTGTCTCTTTAATAATATTAGTTCCTGTCACAGTGACTTGTAATGGGAATAAAATATGGTGACTAGGTTGTCCCCTTCTGTGATGAAAGCCATGAGAGGAAACTATTTGCAAAGAAATCCTTGTGGTGATTCTTCCAACAGCATCCTGTCAGGCAGTGTTTTCTCCCCAAATCCAGAGAAAAGCATCACGCAGCCTGATGGATTTCCCCAAGTTTTTCCCAGTTGTAGAGTGATGTGTAGTGGAGTGTAAGCAGAGCCAAGGCTTCACACACTAGTCAGCAGAGTGTGCTAGCTATGCAGGAGGGAGAGGAGTTCTCTAAACCCACATAAGAATGTAGCAAAGAGAACATTCCACTTATACGGCATAGAGCTTGCTCTGGTTTGCTCTGCATCATCTCATCCCCAATAAAGGGCTGCACCTAGCTGGACCTTTGTATGTCAAAAGTTGAGGCTAGATTCTGATCTTACAAACATCAGTGTGAATGGGGAGTAACTTCACCACAAAAGTTAAGTATATTGGCACTTCCACCCAAGTAACTTTGGAGGAGTTAGTCTGTATTCACACCAGTGTAAGTGTATCTCTACACTCGAGCTAGAGGTGTAATTTCCAGCTCAGATAGATTTATGCACACTAGCTTTGATTGAGCTAGCATGCTAAAACTAGAAGTGTAGATGCAGAGAGCTGTGCGGTTAGCCCATCTCTTTGCCCACAAGTAAGTACCTAGGGTTCCATGCAGGATTGTACTCAGGACAGCTAATCACCTGCACTGCTATGGCCACACTTCTGTTTTAAGTGTACTAGCTGGATCAAAGCTAGTGTGCGTATTTCCACCCAAGCTATAAATCACACTTTCAGCTCCAGACATACAGTAAATGAGATCAGACTCTGACTCACGGTGTTTAAATGGAGGGCTTTGTTACAAGGGTGGAGTGTACTCATTCTCATCCTCCTGAATAGGTAATTTTTCTGTTAGCAATTCCCCAGAAAATAATTCTGAGCTTCTGAGTCGTTTAAGTGAAAGGCCTTCAGGGGTTTCCCTAGAAAATATGCTTCTGTTAAAGAAATCTTAAATTAACACTGAAGAGGCCTGTGTACTGTGATTTTAATTTTAGATGTTTATGTGAAAACAGAGCAGTACATTACATTTTTTACTACTGAAAAATCTTTACGCTCTACCTTGTGATGTATACAGTTTTCCTAATCCTCTGAACGCCTTTAATGCAAAGCAATACATTGATGTGAAAACAGAAATTCAGAAGTCAATACCTATTTGGAAACATCACTCTTCACTAACAAAGGAAGTGCCAATATTAAATCAACAGCCCTTTAAAAGTTTCTACCAATAAAAAACAAACAACAAAACATCAGTCAATCGGATCAAATCTGTGCTTTCAGCTCTTTAAATGAAAAGATGTCAATCCCACTTAGCATATTTAACTGTCTGGTGTTTTGTTTCTATTTTACTGCAATCCATTGTTTTAAAAGTATCAAGAGAGGGCACATGGTTATTTATACACTTCAGACATTTTATATAATACAATGGTTTGCAAAGGTTCCCTATCAGGGCACACCCTGCCCTGAGCCTCCAATCTAGTCAAAATCGACACAGGACTCCTCTCACCTCCCACTTAAAAATATGGGTAAGAGCAGGGTAATTTCCCTCTTGACACCTATTTGTGATTTCCCTGGTAGGTTGCAACCTCCATGGGGAAAACCAATGGCCAGGTTCTGTTCTCAGTGCATCCATGCAGTGTCACTGATTTATAAATAAACTTGTTCAGTGAAGATGCAAAAAGTTTAAGGAAGCAAATTGTCATACAGTTTAAGATTCCGTAGCTTCCATAATACGCATCCTTCATAGAACTTGTTCTCTCACTGCGTGTAACTCCATTGGCATGAACGGTAGTTATGCTGGCCTGTCAAATTTCAGAATATACTTTTTAAATATGTTAATATAAATGAACCATGACAGTTCACCTGAAATCAGAGTGACTAGTTCATTTGTGAACTCAAAGCTGTGATTCTCTGGAGGAGCCCCTGGGGGTCTTCGTTAAAAGTTTTCTACCAAATGGAAGAGATTCTTTGGTTGAGTTCCCTACCTTTTAATGAAGTTAATTCACCTTGTCTTTAGTTACAGCAAAATTACTCCTGCCATAGATGTTGCCCTCTTACTTGAGTGCAGTTCTGAGAAAGTGATATTGTTTAAATGGAAATTAATGGTTTCTTCAGTCCTGCACTGCTGGGAAATAGTTAATCACAGGGAAATTTTGTGGGAGTCCTACGTTAAAATATTGTTATATCACTAACTCAATGGAAATAACACAGGTATTTTAATCTGATATGATAGATAATGTCCGCATTAGCAAACAAGAATGTGCAATGTATTTGGCTAGATTTCTAGCAAGATATTTCGTATTATCACTACCTATAATATGACATGTTGCCTTTTGCTTTGAATTCTGTTACAGTACCTAATAGTCTGAATGGTAATGTTTGTATGTCATTCAAAGTAATAGTGTGAATAATAAATTACAAACTAGGGCTCCAATCCAGCATCAGGCTTCATGCAGGCAGACCTCCTGAACCCATGTAGATGCCCACAGGCATAGAACTCCATTTGTATAGAACAAACTTCAGGATTGGGGCTTAGAATGGTCAGTATGTTGATTAAAAATTGTAATTGTAACAATTACAAGAATATTGAGAGTTCTGGAGATGAATTTCAAATATAGAATCTGGTTTCATTTATTTTTGATAAAAGTTGGCTTAATATTAGTGTTACTTGAAACAACACTTTTCTGTTTGTGATTGTGAAATAGGCAAATGGTGTCTGTGGAGGATTGTTTCCTGTAAAACAAAGATCCATCCTGGAACAGACACTTCCTTGGGGTGGATACGCATCTTTCTTCAAACATGCTGGGGCTTGAGAGACAATG